GGTAAGGCCACACTTGGAATACTGCTTCCAGTTTTTGTCACCACAATATAAAAAAGATGTTGAGACTCTAGAAAGAGCAACAGGGAAGATTAGGGGACTGGAGGATAAAACATATAAGGAACAGTTGCTGGAATTGGGTATGTCCAGTTTAATGAAGAGAAGGACTAGGGGTGACATGATAGCAGTGTTCCAATATCTCAGGGGTTGACACAAAAAAGAAGGAGTCAAGGCAAGGTATTCTCCAAAGCATCTAAAGGCAGGACAAGAAGCAATGGGTGGAAACTAACGAAAGAGAGAAGCAACCTAGAACTAAGGAGAAATTTCCTGTTAGAATAATTGATCAGTGGAACAATCTGCCTCCAGAAGTTGTGAGTACTCCAATACTGGAAATTTTAAAGGAGAGACTGGGCAGGTATAGGATTTCCTACCTGAGCAGGGGTTAGACTAGAAGACCTCCAAGGTCCCTTCCAACTTTTTTTACTACTACTACTACTACTACTACTACTACTACTACTACTATGGATCATCGCACAGTCAGCCAGATGTTCAGACTGGATTTGGCATTTTGTCTACCTATCGAGTCCTTATCCAGGACCTGGGATAGGCAGATGTGAATGTTTGATGGTATTACAGGTATTGTCACAGGATGGAAGCAGTTCCTAGTAAGGCCGCCTTTTGCAATTGACTAATAGCGAATTTGTCAATGCCAATGATGTTCAAGTGGTGCTCCAGTTGTTTGGGGATTGCACCCAGGCGCCTATGACTATTGGTACTACCCTTGCTTGCTTTTGCCACAGTCTTTCTATTTCTATTTGTAGGTCTTTGTATTTTGTTATCTTCTCCAGTTCTTTCTCGTCTATTCTGCTGTATTATTATTATTATTATTATTATTATTATTATTATTATTATTATTATTATTATTATTAAACTGGCTCTTTTGGAAAGAACATGAGAGCTGTTCCTATCCCTAACCCAAACCATGGTAAGACAAAGAGTAAGGAATGTGTGTTTCTGCAATTGTTTCCTAGTTTCCTATTCTTCCAATGGCCATGTGGGAATGGAGCATCTACCTGTAAAGCCATCCCTCCTTTTCTTTCCTTCTCAGTCTGCAGATTGGAAGCCCAAGTTTCCCAAACACCTGAAAACTTGGAAGTTCAAGAAGGAAACCCATTCACTCTGAAGTGCAACTATTCCAGCCAATATCGTCCCTATTTCTGGTACCATCAGCTGCCTGGAGCTCAGCCATCTCTCATCCTCTCTGTGGATTCTGTAGGAAGCACCTCCAAGAAACCCTTTGTGGCAGAGTATTTGGAGAATGGGAAGGAAAGCCATCTGCGTTCCTCTAGATCTCAGCTCCAGGATTCAGGAAACTATTTGTGTGCTGTAGAGACACAGTGATGTAGCAAGAGGCACCTCCTAACACAAACCTCAGTTCTTCTGAAGTTTCATAGGTGTCTGTATTCTCTGTGCTTTTCTGGTGCACATGTTCCTCTGGTCTGGTTGTGGGAGATCAAAGCAGAATAGCTGGGTTAGAAGAAGCAGCAATTTTTGCGTGAACAAGGTTTGAGAGTCTGTGTAGGAGATGACTAGGCTGAACCTGAAGGAGGGGTCAAACATGCCATCAGTTTTAGGTCCCTTCATGCCCATAAAAGATCCAAGTCCAGCCCACTTTGAATTCTGTTGACTCTTATCCAGTGGTGGGATTCAACTGGTTCTCTGTGTGGATGCCGCTTCCGGAAGTCCGCTCTGGGCCTGGGCAACAAAAAATTAGCTACTGGTTCTGCTGAACTGGTGCGAACTGGCTGAATACCACCACTGCTCTTATCTACCACTAATTTGCGTTGACTGTTAGTAGTTCAGATTCTTGTAGAGAGCATTAGCATACAATGCACCTATATTCATTTGAACTGCCTGGACTCCTGATTTTCTGTGCCTGAGAGTCGAGCTCTTGTGGATGGAAAAGCTGGTGACCATCAGCTGCAGAGATGACTGAGTATTTGTGCTATTCTTAAAGGGTGTGAAACCTTGTTCTACAAAGAATTCAGTCAGGCATGGCGGGATTGGGGAAGGACTGAGAACCCAAACAATTGGTAACAAGCAAGTTCATCCTTAACTGGTGCTTAGAGGGACTGACAGTGATAGAGTGAGTAATTGTGGTTTGCAGACATGGAGGAAGCTTAGTTTGGGGGTAAATTGGGTGGGATCATTTTGTCTGATGTTCTCCTACTTGTAAGAAGTAAGATAAATGATGTGCAAGAGAAGTAAGAAAAATGAGGTGGGATCAGACAAAATGTTCCCACCCAACTTGTCTCTAGACTAAGAGAACGGCAGTCTTGGCACTGAGTTTACTGCTGTCCTTGTGATTGGCAGTTTCCCAAAGTAGATTGTGCTATTATTTATTATTTAGCGTATGATAAGAATATGACAAAAGAGCTTCTTGTCTTCTAATGTGAGGAGTTACGATATTGCTAAGTACTGGTAACCAGTGCACAGGAGTGGACTGTAGATACCCATGCATATGGCTATCATAGCAATAGCAGTAGCTGTTAGACTTATATACCACTCCACAGTGGTATATAGTTAGACTTATATACCACTCCATAGTGGTATATAGTTAGACTTATATACCACTCCATAGTGCTTTTACAGCCCTCTCTAAGTGGACTACAGAGCCAGCATATTGCCCCCAACAATCTGGCTCCTCATTTTACCAACCTCGAAAGGACGGAAGGCTGAGTCAACCTCGAGCTTCGTCAGGATCGACTTCCAGATTATGAGTAGAGTTAGCCTGAAATACTGCTAACTCTAGTTTGAAAGAAAAATCTTCATCAGGGTCCAGTCCAAGCTGGGAATAAACAAAATGGAGACTGCTTTAGAAATAAGGTTATAGTTTATTGAAGAGCAGAACCACAAGGCATGTGGCTCTGGGAAAGCTGATCCCATGTTGCTGGGAGTAGTGGGTTTTTATACCTTCTTGCGCTTTTGTGTTTGGAGTTGTTCTTCCTATTCCTGTGGCATGAACTTTGATCTGAGCTTTTGCACATGTCCTTTTGGTATTTTGATGGTGGTGGGTTAATCCTATTATGTCCTAAAGTTCATGTCTTTAGAGTTTGGGTGGGGTATGTAGATTTTAGGGGTCTTTGTCTTTCTAATCTCAGCAGCTTCTAGCTTCCTGGCTCCAACCTTCTTTAATAGGATGATCAAATCTGCATTTCTAAAAGCTGGCCTGGTTTCTGCTGAGTTTCTGGCTGGGGGGGTACGTTTCTGCCTTTTTAAAGAACTTCTCCATTATTCCTTTGGTGAAATATAATATTCTGCCTTTTTAATATCCCCCAAATATTTCTTTCTCTGGGTTGGGGGGCTGACTTCCCACATTATAATACTTTATTGGCCATCACTGCATCATCAGGGTTTCATCATCAATGTAGATTCACTGGAGCTAATCCCCAAACATTCGCCTCTGACCTACACATAGTCCTACCATTTTGAATATTGAGAGTCTGGGGCTAAAGGAATCCCTGTAGGACATGACAGGTACTTTGGACATTATGTAGGCAGGTGACTTTGGAGTCTGCTCTCTCCTGCTGCCCCAATCAAAAGGATTGTATAAGTCCAACTGCAGTTAATGGATGGAAGGAGAATGCATACAAAAGCCTAAACTGGCCCCAGAGACATGGACATCACCCACCCAGGACCATATCATCAACTCTATTGGCAATGGATGACTAAAATGTCCCAGGAAGAAGACAGAAAATACTGCTTTAAAACTGCAATAGCTAAAGAGTTTAAAATATTTCCACTATGAGATGGCAATGGTATGATGTGAATGTGGTTTTCAGAGCATGTATGTATGTCATCTGAATGTGAGAATTAACCTTATAGTCACATAATTCTTTCAGAGCTCATCCTGTTAGGAAATGGTGGGGATTACAGGCCAATTTTGATGAATGTGGGTTTTTTTCACCTAAACTCTGGCTTCCTTCTCCCCACAAGAGGGCAGAAGAACCACAATCAGATGCCAGCAAAGTTCTCTTAAGGGGGATATTGTAAGAGTTGAATAGAAATAGAAAGAATAGACTAGACTAGACTAGACTAGAGTAGATTAGACTAGAATAGAATAAATTTATTGGCCAAGTGTGATTAGACATACAAGGAATTTGTCTTCAGTGTCTAAGCTCTCAGTTTATATGCAAAACAGCAAAGTAATAATAATTCTAATAGCAAAGTAATGATGTCAATAAGAGAAGGTAGCAGAAAAGATAAGAAGGATAATAGTAATACAGCCATACTACACGGATAAATATACTTAGACAGTATATTTAGATAGTACTGTGGGAATTAGAGATAAGACACTACCGTAGAACAACCTGCCTCCTGAAGTTGTGAATGCTCCAACAATGAAAGTTTTTAAGAAAAGATTAGACAACCATTTATCTGAAATGGTATAGGGTTTCCTGCCTAAGCAGGGGGTTGGACTAGAAGATCTCCCAGGTCCCTTCCAACTCCAACTCCTCCTCCTCCTCCTTCTCCTCCTCCTCCTCCTCCTCCTCCTCCTCTCCTCCTCCTCTCTCCTTCCTCTCTCCTCCTCCTCCTCCTCCTTCCTCCTCCTCCTCCTCCTCCTCCTCCTCCTCTCTCTCCTTCTCCTCCTCCTCTCTCTTCTCCTCTTCTTCTTCTTCCTTCTTCTTCTTCTTCTTCTTTCTTCTTTCTTCTTCTTCTTCTTCTTCTTCTTCTTCTCTTCTCTTCTTCTTTCTTCTTCTTCTTCTTCTTCTTCTTCTCTTCTCCTTCTCTTCTCCTCCTCCTCCTCCTCCTCTTCCTCTTCCTCTCCTCCTCCTCCTCTTCTTCTTCTCCTCCTTCTCCTTCTCCTTTCCTTCTCCTCCTCCTCTCCTCTCCTCCTCCTCTCCTCCTCTTCCTCTTCCTCTTCCTCTTCCTCTTCCTCTTCTTCTTCTTCTTCTTCTTCTTCTTCTTCGTCTTCTTCTTCTTCTTCTTCTTTTCAGCAGAGTGATGGTATGAGTGAAAAAAACTGTCTCTGTGTCTTGTTGTTTTGGCATGCAATGCCCTATGTCCTCTGGGGAGGAGTTGAAACAGTTTCTGTCCAGGCTGTGAGGGATCTATAGATTTTTTCTCAACCCTCTTTCTGACTTTTGCAGGATAGAGTCCCTCAGTAGAAGGCAGGCTGGTTGCAATTGTTGTTTTCTGAGGTCCTAAACTTTCCTTTCAAGTCTGAACTTGTCCTGTTTGGTAGCTGTAGCAAACCAGACAGTTATAGAAGTACAGATTCAATAATTCCTCTATAGAACTATATCAGCAGTTTCTTGGGCAGTCTCAACTTCCTGAGTTGATGCAGGAAGAACATTCTTTGTTGTGCCTTTTTAATAATGATTCTAATGTTAGGTGCCCATTTCAAATCCTGGGAGGTTATAGAGCCAGAAATATGAAGCTTGTGGCTCTTTTCCCCTCCTCTTGACTTCTCTGACTCTCTGAGACTTCTCGGAGATTAGAAATCTCAAGAAATGTTTGAGTGGTGACTCCATTGCTTGATGTACAAATAATAATCCTAATATCTGATGCCAAAAGGATGGAGAGAAAAAAACATCCAGCCAGAAATATGACATCCAGGTATTGTGGGAACAAGAGAAGGAGATGTGGGTCTTCCAGCTTTCATTTCCCACAGTTCTCTCCAGTGAGTAAGGTAGGATAATAATGTCCTGAATTTGAGCTCAAACTGTGGTGCCAAAGGATAAACAGGCTCCAGTGTTCTTGGCAAAGTTAGGAAAGTGGTTTCCTTTCTTTGCAGAATATTTCTTTTACTTCCCAGTTTGGTATAGTTTGTTTGCTCAAGAGAGAGTGCATTAAGAAAAAAGTTTCTGTGTACTGGGTTTGTGGTATGTTGCTTCTTTGATCTACGTAAGTGAAAGCAGAGCTGAGCAGATCTTCGATCCCCAGAAGGTCTGAGCATGAAGCAACTCAGGAGACTGTGGCTGGGCTGTCACTTTCCTGTGTTTCTGGTGACAGAGTTGTCCTGCCTCTTGAAGAGAAAGGGAGAAGAATGGGAGATCTGAGGAACACGATCATTGCTTTGCTGCTGGCCATCTCCACAGGTATCCTTTTCATCTTTTCTTTTTCATTTATTGATGGAAATAATGTTTATGCTTACTTTTGTTTTTTGAAGCAAGGCCTCCTCAAAACTTCAGCTTTGGAGCTGAATTTTTCAAAAGCCATAAAAAGAACACCAGCAAAAGCATCAAGCAGAAAAATTCATTTATTTAATCCCTTAAGAATGTGGAAGGTAGGATTGCAAACTTTGAATGATAATGGCTCCTTTGGAAATTCTAAAGGTTTAGTTAACTAAACTTACTGGTGGAATTCCTTCCTTCCTTCCTTCCTTCCTTCCTTCCTTCCTTCCTTCCTTCCTTCCTTCCTTCCTTCCTTCCTTCCTTCCTTCTCCCTCCTTTCCTAACAATCCTCTTTTATTACAGCTGTATCAGGTCAAGTCACCCAGGAGCACCAATTTCTTTCAGTCAAGGAAGGAGACTCCATCCGGCTGAAATGCTCCTATTCAGAAACAGCTTCTAGTCTTCAGTGGTACAAGCAATGTCCAGGAGGCCAGCCAAAATTCCTGATGGCCTTGTATTCATCAACGACTGAAGCAAAGGATAATTTGGAGATGACTCTGAACACAAAAAACAAGACCACATCTTTGTATCTGAAGAACACCCAGTTTAACGATTCAGCTGTCTACTTCTGTGCATGGAGCCACAGTGCTAGAAAGACACCTGCTGGTTGTCACCAAAGGTGGAGGGCAACCAAGAGGAAGAAATTGAGCTGCCTACTGGAGGCCTTCTGCAGAAAGATCAGGAGAACATCTTGAGACACAGCATCGTAGCTAAAAAAATCTATTTGTCCCAAAAGTCTTTTCCCCAAAGGCAACTAGACTTCCTTCATTTTTTTCCTTGAACACATTTTGATTTTCATCCAAGAAGCTTCTTCAGTTCTATCTGACTGAAGAACAGCAAAACATTTCAAAGGGAAAAAAAAAACACAAGAAAGCCCATTTATCTTTTGAAAAAAGCACCTTTGGGATAACCATGAGCTGGATGATTGAGACTCTGAGAGTAAAGGTTTGTTCTCTGAGCTTGTGGGTTGGTTTCTGAACATTTTGTTACCCTGCTAGATAACATCTTCAATGGCATTTAGGGGCTAAATCCCCTAAATTCCACTGAAGAGGTAACCTAGCCTGGTAATGAAATGTTCGGAAACCAACCCACAAGCTCGGAGAAACTTCACCCTCATCCTACACCCGAGCTACAGATATTTTCTCTATTGAGACTCTCCGTAGACAAAGATCTGGTTATTTTTCAGCATATATATTATATATTTGTTTTCTGAGGTTTTCGCAGGTATTTGTATGTAGGTCTTTGGGTATTCGGGTTTTCTCCTGCGTAAAATTGGAAGTGTCTTGGCGACGTTTCAACGAAGTCCCATTCGTTATCTTCAGGCTGGTGTTTTCAGCTTCATGCTGAAGCTCCTCGAAGCACGAAGCTGAAAACACCAGCCTGAAGATGACGAATGGGACTTCGTCAAAACGTCGCCAAGACACTTCCAATTTTACGCAGGAGAAAACCCGAATAACCATGTTGATTGCTTTGTAAAGTCATCGGCAGATTGCAGCAGAAGATTTTATTTTGTACAACTCAGGGAAGCATAGATAATGTTCCCACCTCCTATTTTCCTTATAACATCAATTAGAATAGAATAGAGCTAGAAGGGACCTTGGAGATCTTCTAGTTCAACTCCCTGCTTAAGCAGGAGACCCTATACCATTTCAGACAAGTGGCTGTCCAGTCTCTTTTAAAAACCTCCAGTGTTGGAGCACCCACAGCTTCTGAAGGCAAGTGGTTCCACTAGTTAATTGTTCTCAGTGTTAGGAAGTTTCTCCTTAATTCCAGGTTGCTTCTCTCCTTGAATTAAGGAGAAACTTCCTTATAATTATATAATTGTTGGAGATGGGTTGGGCCAAAAGTGCCCCAGTCAGATTTTCATGCTAAAGGTAGACTAGAACTCATCTTCTCTTGGTTTCTCATCCTCTTCCTTAATCACTAGATTAAACTCTTCCTCTTGGAAAAAACACAAGTTGTCTCTAGCCCTAAAGCAGTGTTTCTCAACCTTGACAATTTTAAGGCATGTGGACTTCAACTCCCAGAATTCCACAGCCAGCATTGCTGGCTGTGGAATTCTGGGAGTTGAAGTCCACATGCCTTAAAATTGTCAAGGTTGAGAAACAGTGCCCTAAAGCCTAACTATGGCAAGGCAAACATTAAGGGATTTATCGCTTTGCAATTGTTTCCTAGCTTCCTCTTCCCTCTGAGGTCAGCATGTGGGAATGGAGCATCTTACCTGTAAAACTATCCCTCCTTTTCTTTCCTTTTCAGTCCCCAGATTGGATGCTCAAATTATCCAAACACCCGAAAAACTGGAAGTTCAAGAAGGAAGTTTATTCACTCTGAAGTGCAACTATTCCAGCCAATATCAACCCTATTTCTGGTACCATCAGCTGCCTGGAGCACATATATCTCTAATCTTATCTATATCTTCTCAAGAAAGCCAGAATAATAAAGGTTTTATGGCAAAATATTTGAAGAATGGGAAAGAAAGCCAGCTGCATCGCCCTACAGCTCAGCTGCAGGATTCAGGAAACTATTTCTGTGCCGTACAAGACACAGTGATATAGTAAGGAGGCACCTCCCAACCCAAACCTCAGCTCCTCTGAAGTTTCACAAGTATCTGTATTCTTTGGTGTTCCTCTGGTCTGACTGGTGGAGATCAAAGTGGAATGGCTGGGTGAGAACAAGCATCCGTCTTGGTGTGAACAAGGTTTGAGAATCAATTTCTTGTGGATGACAAAGCTGGTGACCATCAGCTGTGGAGATGACTGATAATTCGTGCTATTCTTGAAGTGTGAAATTTGCTTCTAAAAAAAAATTCAGCCCAACATGGGAGAAAGGGAGAAGGACCAAGAACCCCAAATAATATGTAGCAAGCATCCTGGCTGAGAGATGTAACAGTGGGTGACTCTGGTCTGTAGCACCTGATGGCAGCTGGTCAAGTAGGAGAAATGATGTGGAAGCAGACAAAATGATCCTACCCCTCTTGTTCACAAACTAAAGGGATGCAAGAGTTGGCATTCTTCTGTCCTTGTGGTTGGCAGCCTCCCAAAGTGGACTGTAGAAAGCCACACAAATGGCTTTCTACCATGATCAGTGTAGATTCAAAAGAGCAAAACCTCAACACAGATCTACTTGCAGTCTTGCCATTCGTAACATTAAACGTATAATGCTTTTTGTAAACAAACCTTGATAAGATATGATAGGCAGATAACTAACTATCTGACTTGGTCTCTCCACACATCATCCTTAGTGAAGTGTGCAAACCAGTGTCTGCATTTCCTGCGTTGGATGAGGAGAGCACCTCTTTCTCCTTCTGTCCTGGCCACTTTTTACAAAGGCATGATGGAGAGCATTTTAACAAACTGCATCCATGTTTGGTTTGGTGGCAGCAAAGCCTCCGATAGAAGGTCCGTACAGAGAGTGGTAAGGATAACCAAGAAGTTTATAGGAAGCTCACTTCCTGTGATTCAGGAACATTGCTGATAAGCGTTTATATGTGCTTAGAGCTCGAAGCATTGTTAGAGACCCCGAACACCACTTCATGGTCTGTTTCTATTGCTCCCCTCTGGGAGAAGGTTTTGAAGTATTTATAGCAGGACTACTACATTCTGTAACAGCTTTGTTCCCTATGCCATCCATCTAGTAAACTCACAAGATTCATTTTTATCGCCATGTACATGTATACATCTGAATTAGACTGTGTTGTTTCTCTGTGTCATAGAATATATGTGACTATGTGGGTATATGCATTTTTTTGTCATATTTATGTAGTGTATTTTGGAGGTGGTGACCCTTTGACCCTTTGAGAATGCAATGAAATTTCATTTTAATGTATGCCAACTAATGTACATTTAAAGTGACAATAAAGTTATTCTAAGTTTCAAGTCTATGTCACTTGGGATGTTATAAAGGGGGTCTTCATTTTCCTGCTGTACCAACCAAAATGATCATAGAAGCCCAATTGCATACAAAATGCATACAGAAGCCTAAATTGGTCCCAAAGTCTTGGATATATCCCACCCAGCATTATATCAGCCACCCCATTGGCAATGAATGATTAAAATGTGCCAGGAAGAAGATAGAAAACACTTTAAAACTGCAACAGCTCCATATTTTAAAACATCTCCGCCATGGGCTGGCAATGGTATGAGGACATGATATAAGTGTGGTTTTCGGGGAATGTGTGTGCATTGCTCATCTAGATGTGAGGACGAACCTTACAATCATACGATTCTTCCTAAAGCTCATCTTGGAAGAAAATGTTGGAGTTGATTGGTCAATTTTTGATGAAATTGGGTTTTTTTCACCTGCACTTTGCTTCCTTCTCCCCACAAGAGGGCAGTAGAACTCCCAACCAGATACCAGCAAAGTTCTCTTAAGGCAGTGGTTCTCAACCTGTGGGTCGGAACCCCATTTGGGGTCGAATGACCATTTCACAGGGGTCACCAAACCACGCTGTCCGCCATTTTTTTTCCTTTTCCCTAGCTGTCCTACTCCCTCTTATTGGTGGCCACACCCACTTGGGGGTCACCACAACATGGGGAACTGTATTATGGGGTCAGGGCATTAGAAAGGTTGAGAACCACTGTCTTAAGGGGATATTTTACAGTTTTTATGTGATTCTTTTGCCCTCTTCTTGATTTCTCTGGCTTTCTAAGACTTCTCCCTGATAGGACAGATCAGCAATCTCAAGAAATGTTTTAATATATGGAGAAGATGGATAGAATATGTTCAGAAGAAATATGGAACTACAAAGTTTCACTTATTCTATGAGTAATGATTTTGTTTATAAACTTATGATGTTAAAGTTTGAAGAGAGTTAAGGGTTTTTATGATTTTGTTCATTGTATAATTAGTAAACTTAAATAGATTATGTTTAATATGTTTGCATAATCCTGTATTTTGCTGTGGGAAGTCGGGGTGGAGGAGGGTGGGGGGTGGATGGGTTGAAGTTTAAGTAGTTCAGATAAAGTAGAAATAGTCTTCTTGTATATAATATTAAGAAGGTGAGAAGTAAGTAGGAAGATTGAGGTGAAGGAGGAGAGGGAGTGAGTGAAGAAAAAGAGGGAAAGAAGTAAGTTGGTTTGAGGTGGGATGCGGTTTGGGGGGAAATGGGCGGGCAAGACTGAATGTGGTGTGTATCAATTTGTTTTGTTTTTTATCTGAAGTATTTGTAAGATGGTCATGTATTGTAAAGTTGAAAATACAAAATTTTTACAAAAAAAAAAAAAGAAATGTTTGAGTGGTGACTTAGTTCCTTGATGTAGCAATAATAATAATAATCCTAACATGAGGTGCCCAAAAGATGGAGAACAACATTTTCCGAGCAGAGAAATGTCAGTTGGACATTTGGGGATGATAGCAAAGGATATGTGGGGTCTTCCAGATTTCTTGTCCACAATCTTATCAAAAGAGTAAGATAGACTAATAATCTCCTGAAGATGAGCTGGACTGCTGATGCGGAAGAGGGAGCATGCTCCAGTTTTCTCGGCAAAGTTAGAAAAGTGTTTTGCCAACACTTTCTTCACAAGACACCTGTCTTACTTCCTAATGGAGACTAGAACTTGAGGATCTGCTTATGGTCTCCCACCCAAGTAGAAATCAGGCCTGATGCTATGTAGTTTCATAATCCTAGCAAGGATAGAGAAACACATTTTGGAGTTGTAAAAAGTCAGAAGTTCCCCTCCTCAAAGAATGAAATCTTTTGGGGAATATTTTTAAAAAGGCAAGATAAGAGCCGAGGTGGCGCAGCAGTTAGAGTGCAGTACTGCAGGCCACTTTAGCTGACTGTGTTCGCAGGTCAGCGGTTCAAATCTCACCGGCTCAAGGTTGACTCAGCCTTCCATCCTTCCGGGGTAGGTAAAATGAGGACCCAGATTGTTGGGGGCAATGTAAAATATATATATACATTGCTTACTGGTGTACATCGCTTAGAGAGTGCTTGCACTTAAAGCGGTATATAAGTCTCATAAATAAATAAATAAATAAATAAATAAATAAATAAATAAATAAGAGTATTTCTCCTGAAGGAGAAATGGATAAAAATCTTAGGCAGAAATCTGAGGAGGCCACTCTTTAGAAATGCAGATTTTTCAGGAAGACTGGGGCCATTAAGGTTGGAGCTGACGGGATTGGAAAAACAAAGACTCCTAAAATTTACATTCCCCCCACCCAAACTCTAAGGACAGGACATGACCTTTAGGACCTAATAGGATTAAATCACCACCAATACTAGACTAGCAAAAGACACAAAAGCCCATCTCATTGCACAACCCAGAAACAGTTCCACTTCAAAGTTTCAGAGCCCCATAAAGATCCATCCACTCTCAACTCCATTTTGTCAGCCACCTCAGAAACGTGTTGCAGTCACTGAAGTTTCTGGCAACTAAATAAAGAGTCCTCCTTTCCAAAATGCAGCCTACCATCAGTTCATTTTTACAGTGTCCTCCCAGCTTGGAACAGGACCTGATTTTTTCCTTCTGATGGGGTATTCATACTAGTGATGGCTGAAAGGAGAGAAGGAGGTATGATGATCATGACCTTGTCCCCTTATTCCATTTTCTTCAGATTGCAATTGACTTGTGTCTGATGGAAACCAGGTTGATGCAAACATATATCATAGCGCTGGAAAGTTAGACGCAGGACCTAAACTCTTCTCTCCTGTCATTTTTCAAGGTCTCCTTTGTCATTTGCTCCACTGTCTGCCTCCTTATAAGGTCTCATGGAGATGAAGCTCCAGACCACCCAATAGCAGCCCCCAATGCTTATGACCAAGAGTTTCTTTGTCATTCTCATCCTGCCCCAGAGTATGTCTATAGTGAGATAGAAGATGGGCCTTGCATGGTCTGATTTATGGATGTCCCCAATTTGGAACAAGCTGCATGGCTGAAATTCCATGAAGGAACCAGAAACCTTACTGAAATTCCAAGTTCTGGTAAAAAGAGAAATCAAAATATAAAAAAGATACTTTCTCCAGAAGATCCTTTCCCCAGGAAAGGTCAGTAAGGCTAAAAGGAAACCCACTGGATGGATCCCCACTGGATGCCTCACCGATAAATTAATGTAGTTCTTATTTAACAATTATCACCTAGAACAGAACAGAGCAGAATAGTGAATAGAATAGAATAGAATAGAATAGAATAGAATAGAATGTATATGGGTCAATATAAAAAAGAAAAAAGTGACATTATCATAGGTGAAAAAGTGGAATAGATAACATCATCACCAGATGGATCTGTAGCTGGCTGACAAACTGTACTCAATGAGTAGTCCTCAATGGCACTACATCCACATGGAGAGAAGTAAGCAGTGGGGTACCACAAGGTTCCATCTTAAGCCCAGTACTCTTCAATATCTTCATAAATGACTTAGATGAGGGAATTGAAGGGAAACTCATCAAATTTGCAGATGACACCAAACTGACAGGAGTAGCCATCACTCCAGAAGACGAACTCGGGATCCAAAAAGATCTTGACAAACTTGAACAATGGGCCCTATCCAACAAAATGAATTTCAGTGTGGAGAAAAGCAAAGTTTTATATTTAGGCATGAAAAACCAAAGGTACAAATACAGATTGGGCGAGATCTGGCTTAAAAACAGTAACTGTGAGAGGGACCTTTGAGTCCTAGTAGTTGATTACTTGACTATGAGCCAGCAGTGTGCAGCAGCAACCAAAAAAGCTAACACAATCCTGGGTTGTATAAACAAGCATAGAATCAAGATCACGTAAAGTATTAGTACCACTTTATAAAACCTTAGTAAGACCACACCTAGAATACTGCAGCCAAATTTGGTCACCATATCACAAAAAAGATGTTGAGGGTTTGGAAAAAGTTCAGAGAAGAGCAACTAAGATGATCAAAGGCCTGGAGACTAAAACATATGATGAACGGCTATGGGACTTGGGTTTGGCTAGTCTAAAGAAAAGAAGAAATAGCAGTGTTCCAGTGTCTGAGGAGCATCCAGTGTTGGAGCATCCACAACTTCTGGAAGCAAGTTGTTCCACTGATCAATTGTTCTCATTATCAGGAGATTTCTCCTTAATTCCAGGTTGCTTCTCTAGTTTCCATCCATTGTTTCTTGTCCTGCCTTCAGGTGCTTTGGAGAATAGGTTAATGCCTGCTTCTTTGTGGAAGCCCCTCAAATATTGGAACTCTGCTATCATGTCACCCCTGGTCCTTCTGTTCATTAAACTAGACATACACAATTTCTGAAACCATTCTTCATATGTTTTAGCCTCCCAGTTCCCTGATCATCTTTGTTGATCTTCTCTGCACTCTTTCTAGAGTCTCAACATCTTTTTTACATCGTGGTGACCAAAACTGGAAGCAGTATTCCAAGTGTGGCCTTACCGAGGCATTATAAAGTGGTATCAACATTTCACGTCTGATAGTATCTCATACATGAGTATGTTCCCTACTGTGGATTATTCCAGCTAGTAAACAACAGAGTCTATTTTGGCTTGTTTGCTCAAGAGCATGAGTTAAGACAAAGCTTCTATGTTCTGGGTTTGTGGTGTGTTCCTCCTTTGATCTACGTGAGTCAAAACAAAAGATGATCAGATCTTCAGTCGCTGGAAAGTTTAAGCATGAAGCCACCCACAAGACTGTGGCTGGGCTCTCGCTTTCCTGTGTTTCTGGTGACAGAATTGTCTTGTCTGTTGCAGAGAAAGAAGGATGAGAGATCAGGGGAGCAGAATCGTTGCCTTGTTGTTGGTCATCTGCACAGGTATCCTTTTTCGTCTTATTGTTTCATTTATGGATGGAAATAATATTTAGCCTACTTCTCATTTGTTTTTGAAGCAAGGTAGTTTGGGAGCTGAATCTTTCAAAAGCCATAAAAAGAAAGTCAGCAAAACCTCAGAGAAAATTCATTCGTTTCAATAAGAGACCAGAATAGTTTACCTTTCAAGACTAATTTAAGAGAACAAGTTTGGGATCCCATCTGAAATATCTTGTTGTTTGGGACCACCAAGTCAATAAACGTTGGAAATAGTTTCTCCATAATTGCCAAGGTTGAACCTTAACTTTGTTGAACACAAAATACTCTTAGCTGCATGTGACTGTATTTGGATGAGAAGTAGCATAGTCTGATCCACCTATCAAAATTCAACTGGAGATACTTAAACATGTAAAAGTAAGATTATGAGCATTGTATGGCAATTGCTTCGGTAGAAACTCACAATTCTAAAGTTTCAGCTACTGAAACTTCCTTCCTTCCTTCCTTCCTTCCTTCCTTCCTTCCTTCCTTCCTTCCTTCCTTCCTTCCTTCCTTCCTTCCTTCCTTCCTTCCTCCCTTTCTTCCTTCCTCTCTCTCTCTGTCTTCCCTCTTTCTTCCTTCCTTCCTTCCTTCCTTCCTTCCTTCCTTCCTTCCTTCCTTCCTTCCTTCCTTCCTTCCTTCCTTCCTTCCTTCCTCTCTCTCTCTGTCTTCCTTCTTTCTTTCTTTCTTTCTTTCTTTCTTTCTTTCTTTCTTTCTTTCTTTCTTTCTTTCTTTCTTTCTTTCTTTCTTTCTTTCTTTTTCTCTTCCTTCCTTTCCTTCTTTCTTTCCTTCTTCCTTCCTTCCTTCCTTCCCTCCCTCCCTCTAAACATTTCTCTTCCATTCTAGCTGTATCAGGTCAAGCTACTGTCACCCAGGAGCAACAATTTCTATCTGTTAAGGAAGGAAACTCCATCTGGCTGAACTGCTCTTATCAGGGAATAGAATATAATCTTCAGTGGTACAAGCAATATCCAGGAAGTCAACCAGAATTCATGATATTTCTGACTATATCAGAGACTAAAGCAGAGGATAATTTTGAAATGACTCTGGACACAGATAAGAAGACCACCTCTTTGTATCTGAAGAACATCCAATTTAAGGATTCAGCTGTCTATTTCTGTGGCATGCAGCACAGTGGTAGAAAGACACTTCCTGGCTGTCACCAAAGATTGGGGACAATTGAGAAGAACTAGAGCTACCTACTGGTGTCCCTCTGAAAAAAACATCAGAAGAACCTCTTAAGCATCACAACCAGACATCTGCTTATTTTTCACTATACATTTTTCCCCCAGTTGGTCCACATGTTAGCCATCTGCAAGTTGCAGTAGAAAGCCTAAGACAAGAAACGGTGCAAAAGATCTTGATAATCTACTGAACAATGTTTTTGTCTATGCTGTTTTGTGATCCCTCATGGAGATCTTCTGTAAGAAGCCCTTGTGAGCAATCCTGGTACTCTTTTTTGATTCAGATAGAAATTTGGGGAGCTGATGCATTCACTAGTTCCTGTTTTACCATGAGTGTGGGCTCCACTCCTTGTGAATCTGTCTTCAAGTCTGCCATTGTATCCCAGGAAGTTGGATTAAATAGATAATTGAATGGGATTGTTGAAAGAATAATCAAGTCCAGTTCCAAGCTGGGAATATAAAATGGAGGCTGACTGCTTAGGAAAGAAGAGTCCTGCTTATTGATGAGCAGAACCAGCAACAGCATGCAGTTCTGGGACAGCTGACCAAACAGAGCTGAGGGTGGATGGATCTTTATAGGGTTCTGATTGAGATACTCCAGGGGGTTGTACAATATAGTGAGTCTTGTGCCTTTTGCTATTCTAAGGGTGGTGGGTTAATCCTATTATGTCCTAAAGGTCATGCTCTGTCCTTGGAGCTGGGTGCGGGAATGTAAATTCTTAAACCCATCAGCTGTGGGGGCTGAAGTTGTTTTGCTTAAGAATAGAATAGAATAGAATGGAATGGAATAGAATAGAATAGAATAGAATAGAATAGAATAGGGATTAGAATAGAATATAATAGAATAGAAGGGACCTTGGAGGTCTTCTAATCCAGCCCCCCAGTGAAGCAGGAGAACCCATAACATCTCAAACAAGTGACTGTCCAGTCTCTTCTTAAAAACCTCCAGTGATGGAGCACCCACGATTTCTGGAGGCAAGCTGTTCCACTGGTTAATTGTCCACACTGTTAGGAACTTTGTCCTTAATTCCAGGTTGCTTCTCTCTTTGATCAGTTTCCAACCATTGTTTCTTCTCTTGCTCTCTGTTGCTTTGGAGCATAATTTGACCCCCTCCCCTCTTCTTTGTGGCAGCGTCTCAAATACTGGAATACTGCCATCATGTCACCCCTATTTCTTCTTTTCTATAGATTGGCCCCAGTCTTTCTGAAAGGATTGCAATCTCTTGAAGACTGGCCTCTTTGTGTTTTTGCTTGAGGCTGGGGCTGCTTTCTACCCATTGTCAAGATTTTTCTCCATTTCTCCCTTAGAGGAAATAATCTATCCTGCCATTTTTAATATTTTAATATTAATATTTAATATTTCATTCTCTAGGAGGGTCGTTGGGTGTTGATTTTCTACAAACTCAAACATAAGTGATGCCTCAGTGGGTTATTTAACCATGGGTTCTGGTGATTGATCACAGATCCCTTAATGTCCTCTCAACAAAGAAATTTTTTTTAAAAAGAATAGAAAATGGATTTCCCAACGTCGGATGAATGGATATGTGACTGGTGATATCATTAGCATTGAAGTAGCTGCAAATTTCACTTCCAAGGAAGCTATTGGAACATTTTAAAACTATCCCCAAACTCTTAAAGGTCTCCCAGTAACTTTAGTTAATTAAACTTGATTAAACAATCTTGATTAAACAATCAGTGGAACAACCTGCCTCCAGAAGTTGTGGATGCCCCAACCCTGGACATTTTTAAGAACAGTTTGGACAACCACTATATTACTTGTTTAATCCTTTCTTTGTTTCTCTTCAGATTTCCCCTTTCCCCACTTTTAATTTTAGATCTGAGTCCCTCTAAGCCAGGGGTCCCCAACCTTTTGGACATCAGGGACCGGTTACATGGAGAGAGATTTTTCCATGGACCAGAGAGGGTGTGGTTTTGTGTGCTGCCTGCATCCCATGGATGGGGCTTTGCTTGTTTGTGCGGCCCGGTTGCTGGCATGCTGCAAACCGGTACCAGTTCACGAACTGGGGGTTGGGGACCCCCTGGACTAGAAGACCTTCAAGGTCCTTTCCAACTCTGTTATTCTGTTAAACAACCAAAAAAGCCAACACAGTGCTAGGCTGCATTATCAGAGGGATAAAATCAAGATCACGTGAAGTATTAATATCACTTTACAATGCCTTGGTAAGGCCACACTTGGAATACTGCATCCAGTTTTGGTCACCACAATGTAAAAAAGATGTTGAGACTCTAGAAAGAGTACAGAGAAGAGCAACAAAGATGATTAGGGGACTGGAAGCTAAAGCATATAAAGAACGGTTGCTGGAATTGGGTATGTCTAGTTTAACGGAGAGAAGGACGAGAGGGGAGGGCATGATAGCAGTGTTCCAATATCTCAGGGGCTGCCACAAAGAAGAGGGAGTCAAGCTATTTTCCAAAGCGAAGGCAGGACAAGAAGCAACGGGTGGAAACTAACCAAAGAGAGAAGCAACCTAGAATTAAGGAGAAACTTGCTGACAGAATAATTAACCAGCGGAACAACCTGCCTCTAGAAGCGGTGAATGCTCCAACACTGGAAGTTTTTAAGAAGAAACTGGACAGCCATTTGTCTGAAATGGTATAGGGTTACCTGCCTGAGCAGGGGATTGGATTTGATGACCTCCAAGGTCCCTTCCAACTTTATTATTATTATAATTATTAACTACTAAATATAGTATTTCTTTTTCTTCCACTAGATGGCAGCAAAGTTTGTCTCTTTCTTTTTCAGACTAGGCCAGTGTTCCTTAACCTGAAAACTAGTGATATTTTTTCCTAGTAGGGTGTAAGCAATTCAATTTTACAAATTTCTTCTACATCTCCTCAGAAAACACAGTCACATTTGAATTATCTTTCTCCTTGAGGATGGCCTCATGATTTCAAGTATCACCATCTCATCAGGATTTTTTTCTTATGTAGAAATGATCTAATCAGAATTAAGAAGGAATAATGAAGTTATACATAAAAGAGGAAAATATATTGTGTGGTTAGCTGTCATCATTAACATTAGCATTTTCTAACCTATTGACTTTCTGTATTAGTTCCTTTTGCCAGCCTTCCATTTGAGAACAGAATGGGAGAACTTCTAACAATGTGATAGCATCAGTAATTGGGGGTCCAAAGTTGCCAAAATAATATCAAACCATCTCATTATAGCTTATGGATCTCAAAACATTGTCCACGTTTCTGTTATACAATATATTTTAGAAAAACCCAAACCTTGCTATCATTCCTATTTATAGGATAATTTGGATTTTGCCACAGGTGGTCACTGATCTTCTAAATCAGTGTTTTTTTTTTTTTTGTTTGTTTTTTGGCAAGTTGGATTTCAACTCCCAGAACTCTTCAGCCAGCAGACTCTTCAGTCAGTCCAAACACTGTCAATTTACCAAGGTTGAGTAACATTGTTCTAGATCATTTGAAGAGGTTTAGTTCTCTTACGTGTTTCAGGTTTCTAAAGAGAAACCTGAAGAAAATGCATTAAATATATACACTCTGTTGATCAGGTGTTGATCAGATATCCATTTTCACCTTTGTTGTAGGTTCTCCTGGAAGAGCACAAACGATCAATCAGCCTGGGTCAGCAACAGCCTTGGAGAGAAAACCTTATCACCTTAGCTGCAATCTCTCTTCTGTAACTACAGAAATGATCCAATGGTATCAGCAGTTCTCTGGGCAGATACCACAGTACCTTGGTGGGGCCTACCCAAACAATGAAGATGAAGTTGCCAATCCAAAGGGAAAGTTGTATTTTTCTCAAGACAAGACATCCAGCATGCTTGTGATCGATGAAGTCACTCTGGCAGATGCTGCTGTCTATTTCTGTGCTCTGAGAGACACACAGTGTCTCAAGGACGGATCTGTTGCCATTCATGAACCTCTCTCAGAGACTGAACACAGGAGGAGCTATTGCAAAGGGAGATGGAGCAGAGAAAGTGGAGAAGAACACAACAGAACAGAATAACAGAGTTGGAAGGGATCTTGGACCTTTTCTAGTCCAACCCCTTGCTCAGACAGGAAACTCTATACCAGAGGTTCTCAACCTTGGCAACTTTAAGACTTGTGGACTTCAACTCCCAGAATTCCTCAGCCAGCAAAGCTGGCTGAGGAATTCTGGAAGTTGAAGTCCACAAGTCTTAAAGTTGCCAAGGTTGAGAACCCCTGCTCTGTACCATTTCAGACAAATGGTTGTCTAATCTCTTCTTAAAAGCTTCCAGTGTTGGAGCACTCACAACTTCTGGAGGCAATTTGTTCCACTGATTGATTGTTCTCACTGTCAGGAAATTTCTCCTTAGTTCTAGGTTGCTTCTCTCCTTGATTAGTTTCCATCCATTGCTTCTTGTCCTGCCTTCAGATGCTTTGGAGAATTGCTTCTCCCTCTTCTTTGTGGCAACCGTTGAGATATTGGAACACGGCTATCATGTCCTTCTTCTCATTAAACTAGACATGCCCAATTCTAACAACCATTCTTTATATGTTTTAGCCCCCTAATCACCTTTGTGCACTCTTTCTAGAGTCTCAGCATCAGAAGATACTAAGCCACCCCTTTGTGATATAGTCAGGTATGGTTGTGGCAGGCAGATTACAAAATTTCCCATCGAGTTGACTACTTCTCCTGGTGATTCCACAGACACATTCTTGTGGTTCCCCTGCCAATTACGTGAAAGGGATTTGCTGTGGTTTTCTTCTGGGTTGTATTTTGGAATTGTCACAGTTGCCTTCTTCAATCCTTGGTTTCCAATGATCTCTCAACCAAATAAGCCTGACACTTTTTAAGTTTTGTTTTGTTTTGTTTTGGTAGATCAGCCAAATTTTGCTTTCAGTAGAGCAGAATGACCAGCATTTCCCAGAAGCGAATCTTGAGATCCATGTAGCTATTTTGAGATCATCATAGAAGAGCTGGTGGAGTAATGAAGGCATTAAATGGAAAGAAGGAAAACAACAGATTTAGGTCTACCTTAATTGTGGAAGTACAGGGGTGACTTTGGTTCAATTGCTAACCTGGAAGAAGTACTATCTGCTTTATATCACATGGCGATCTTATTGTTCACTAAGTCTTGTCTGACTCTTTGCAACCCAATGGACCATAGCAAGCCAGCCCCCCTCCCCCCATGTCCTCCACTGTCTCTTGGAGTTTGCCCAAATTCATTTTCATTGTGTCAGTGACTCTATCTAACCATCTCAGACCCTGCCGTCCTCTTCTCCTTTTGCCTTCAATTCTAACCTGAATAGGGAAGCATAAATATTGAGAATGCAAACATAGGTAGGCCTTGTTCTTTTTGAAGACCAAAGAAGAGTCCTTGCATTATGATCCATGTGTACAAAGACGTTGCTGCTTGCTTCAACCGAAGGGAAAAAAATGATTAAATTTGTGTGCTTGATCGCTGGTGTGTCATATTTCTAAGCACTGATTCTTAGAAAATGATGGTGACTTCCTATCAGGTTTAGTTAGCGTATGCCATCAACAGAGGTCATAAAAACACTGAAATGCAACACTAATAAATCACATTATGCAAACACAAATATGAGTTTAAGTACAGCATCAGGAAACTTTATAGATAGATAGATAGATAGATAGATAGATAGATAGATAGATAGATAGATAGATAGAGGGAAGAGGGAGAATTCAATGCTTTTACTATATGGGTTTGGGAAGGATCTTACCAGAGCTGGTTTTGCTTTCATTAATGCCGAGGTGATGTACTCAATAAAGTTTTACATTAAGAGATTGGAATGTCTCGAAGGTGTTTGCTTGGTTGGGTCCATCAGTCAGAACGTTGACATACCATTTCTAGAGATATTGGTCTTTCAGTTCCCATAAGAATACATAGACTATATTCAGAATAGATGGCTTAGAATCAGCACAATTCATATCTGGTTTTATTTAGACCTAATTCCAAGGGCCAATCCCAGAATTAGAGTCTTCTATACATTATTAAGTCTTTGATTGCTCAGTAAAAAAAAAGGGAAGAAACAGACTGGAGACAATGTCCAACAATGATTTTCTTCCCATGTTCCCCTTTCCCCCTTCAGTTTTCCTGAAATTTGAGCTGAAATCATTAACCATAGTTAGAACTCATAGATTTGACATCCCCTTCTGGTTGGGGAGAGCAAGATAATTTAGGCAATCAGAAATTTTACACTTTAGTGTTCTTCTAATTTTAAGATGGGTGGACTTCAACCCCTAGAATTCTATATATCTGGTCTTAATAAGAAGGACAGCAAAATGATGTCCCATGCATTGGGATGTTATCGTCCAATGATGTGTAGTACACAATTTTGTCATATCTTCTGTGACATTATTATGTATTCAGTGTTGTGTCCAACCCCCACCTCCTCTTGATTCATCTGCACTGAAGATGGTAGCCTCCTCATGACTAGTTGTAATTATTTGGGAACTAGAGAGATTCATTATATCTTTGGGATACCTAAGTTGAGATTCCTGCACCAATGTGGAGGCAACAGATTAAATAAAGTGACCTAAACATCCTCTTCCAACTCTGGATTTCATGATGATATTATTCTATCATGAAGTAGAATGTTGCTTAAGAATGAAAGGCACTAAATGAGGGATCTAGAATGGACACAGTAAATCAGTTCAGATTAAACCAATGCTGCTAACATTTGATGTTCTTGCTTTGACAACAGATGGAGATGCAGCCTTTTTCTTTCTTATACTGTACTCTTAGAATTAGATGATCTGGAGGAGGAATGAGGTGGAAGTTAGTTAGACATACAATATCATAACAAGAGCTGATAAAGAAAGGTGGGAGAGAAAACTGGGTGGGAAGCCAGCATTTCAAACTAATTGGAGAATGTGATTTATAACTGTTAGTTGTAGGAGGGAATTGTGCTTTGATCTATGTGCTGAAGGAAGGGGAAGTCAGATTTTGGCTTCAACTACCGAAGCTATGCTGCTTGATTAAAGATTCTTTAAGGTAAACAATGCCTCAAAGTTCTTTGAAGAGTTTCATCTTTTGGAACCATGACACATAGGCTTAAAAACATTATCCCATACAAGGTTCCTTTTTAGCGGTCAAGGTTCACAATATAAATATAAATCTCTTCTTCAGGACTCTTTTTTATGTCCTCCATGCCTTTCCATTTTCTCAGCTGAATTTATTCTCTTCATAGACAATTCATGAATTCGTAACATTTGGAAAGATCTACAGATATGGTCCCAAAAGTGCTTTTTCAAGAGGCAACTGGACTTTTTTGTTTTTCTTTGAAGACATTTTGCTTCTCATCCAAGAAGCTTCTTCAGCTCTGGCTGGATGGTGGGGAATGGAAGGATTTATACTCCTTGCAGACAGCTGGTCATTTGCCTTCTTTTAGAGGGTCACTGAGGCCACCTGGAGGTTTATCTGTGTCCTCAGAGTCACCTGAGTGGTGCAAATGTGTGTGGAGCCTTCTTGGCTGCAGGATGTTTTCTCCATAGACTTTTAGCTATGCACTTTGGGATGAACACCCTTAGAAGGATGTGGGACTATGAACGGATTTCCAGAAAACATTGCAGACTACATGGACCATTTGGGCTTCAGTTTGAGATGCAGACAACACGGACTCATTCCCAGCAGCCTGTGCTTGTCTTCAACAGTGAAGGGACCCAGGGCAGAAAACAAGAAAGTCCAGTTGCCTCCTGAAAAAGCACCATTGGAACAACCATGACCTGGATGACTGGGAATCTCCATAGACATCTACAGATGCAGTGTCTAATTTATAAATGACACAACTCAGTGGGAGAAGAACAAGAATGTCAAGCATGTTTTTCTTCATGTCAGCCTCCAACATTTGTCCACAGGAAGTGGTCTTTGCCAGAGATGGAAGTCACCCTTCAAGGGCTAAACTGTGCCTCTCCGTTGCTAGCCCAGCACTTCAACAAATGTACCACATTTGTACCACAAATGTATCTGACTACTTTTTGCATACAGCTCATGCAAGAATATAAATAAATTTAAAAAGGCTTAGAAAACAGATTTTATTGAAAACACATAATGATATAAAGTCAATGCATTATGACAATGAGCCAACTGCTCTAAAATCACCTATTGCACAATCTTTATCACTGATAATCTAGAAGTGGGGAAGAAACCAATTTAGCCTTTATCTCTCTCATTACCCATATTCAAAGCAAGGAATATTCAACAGGAATTTTATAAAAAATATATATCTATTATGTAAATGTACAATATAAATATGCATTGATTTAGATTTTTTTTTCAATGAAATGATAGGTTAGGCAAATGCCCAGAGATTACAATTGGGGAAAGCTGTAATTCATAATTTGAAAAACGATTCTATAATCTAGAAAAGGGGGTTTGAAATATACACCAAAGGAGGGAATAAGGTAAACCAAAATAGGTGGAAAAATCTCCATCACCATAAACGTCTGATTTTCAGCAAAGAAGAATTTGCTCACATGAAAAGAGGAATTTTTTTTTTAACTTGTTGAGAGGACACCAAGTTGAGGAAGCTAAAGATGAGAACAGGAAAAAGCCACCATCAGATCTGAGTATTTATGAACAAAGAAAGGTACAGACAGAAGCTTTGTAACGGAGCTATACAGCCCTGTCCCTCCACTTCCATTGAGAAATGTGATTGATCCTCTGGTATTTGCTAAAATAATCCACCCAGTTTTACCCAAAAAAGGTCAATTTCTTTCTGGAACCTTCTCATAAAAAGAAAAGATCATGCTTCTCTGCTACGATGCATGACGAAGACCATTATACAGCTTATATTCATAAGTCCCTTTTCATACTATTCTTTTGGTGTTGAAATCTTAATGAATATCTAAAATATATTGCTAACTCAGCTCATTTCTTGCACGTTTTCAGTTAAAGAAATCTTACTCTTTTATATTAAGGTTTCTTCTTATGAGTCTGGAAAACATCTTTCAATCTAATATAATTGGAAAAGAATAGGCTGTCATTTCTTCTTCAAAACAGTCACGATGCCACCCTTCCCCAAAGTACTATAAGATACTCAGTGAATATTATAGTCCATCTAGTGCAGTGGTTCTCAACCTATGGGTTGGGACCCCATTTGGGGTTGAATGACCATTTCACGGGGGTGGCCAAACCACGCTGTCTGCCATTTTTTCCCCTTTTCCCTAGCTGTCCTACTCCCTCTTATTGGTGGCCACACCCACTTGGGGGTCACCACAACATGGGGAACTGTATTATGGAGTCACAGCATTAGAAAGGTTGAGAACCACTGATCTAGTGGGATAAGAAAGAGGTATTTCTATCATCAAGAATGAACTATATTCAAAAGCTACGATTCCAGATAGGTTATTAGTGTCATACCTTATAGCAGGAAATCTCCAACCTTGGCAACTTTAAGAGTTGTGGACTTCAACTCCCATCAACCTCATGCTGGCTGAGGAATTCTGGGAGTTGAGGTCCACAAGTTCTTAAACTTGACTAGGCAGTACAAGACCACAGAAGCCTCCCAACAATCCTTTTGTCATGGGATCAAAATTGCACTGCTTTCTCCATCTTTATGAAGGTAGATTAGTTACAGAATATCTGCACAATAGCTTTGGAGACGATTCTGAAGTGCCAGACCTTGTTGCTTTCAATAGGACAGCACAGTCATTTCACATCACTTCTTGACAAAAGCTTACGCCATGAGATTTGGGACCCCTGCAGTCTTTCTTTCCAAAAGTTTCCTTACTGCATCCTTGACTTCATTGTTCCTAATAGTGTAAATGAAAGGATTTAGTGCTGGGGCAACCATAGTGTACAGTATGGAGACAGACTTCATCCTACTAAAAGAAGAGTTCTTGACATTAGGCCTTAAATAGACAAAAAAGACTGACCCGTACAAAATGCAGACCACAACCAGGTGGGAAGCACAGGTAGAAAAAGCCCTCTGCTGTCTGGTAGTTGAAGGCATTCGGAGAATGGTGCAAATGATGAAGAGGTAAGAAATGAGGGTGAAAAGCAAAGAGGACATAATCACAACCACCGTCAGTAGGAAGCCCAGGGCTTCGATCACGTGTGTATCTCCTCCAGAAATCTTCAACAAAGGTCCTTCATCACAATAGAAATGATTGATAACATTGGAGGCACAGTAAGGTAGGCTTGCAGTCAATAAACCCTGATACAGAATGGAGAAAAAGCCTCCAAACCAGGCTGTTATTGCTAGCTTAAAGCAAACCCCAGAAGTCATAATAGTGGAGTATCTCAAAGGATGGCAAATGGCTATGTATCTGTCCAAGGATATCAACGTGATGATGAAAAATTCTGTAACGCCAAAGAAGAAGTAAAAGAACAATTGTGTGATACAGCAGTAGAAACAGATGGAATTGTTTGCAGAAAGATAGTTGACCAGCAGTTTAGGAATAAAAGCTGTGGTGTGTCCAATATCAATACAAGACAGGTTGCTAAGGAAGAAATACATGGGCTTCTGGAGATGGTGGTCCAAAATCACCATCACAATGATGAGTCCGTTGCCCATCAGACACAGGAGGTAGAGCAGAAAGACACAAGTAAATATCATATTTTCCATTCCCCAAACACTTGGCAATCCAACAAGAATGAATTCAGTTACTCTTGTACAGTTGGTCAAATTCATACTCACTTTCTGCTACAAAAAGAGAAAAATTTGAAATCTTGCTTGAATCAAGACTTATTTACTTATATGTCAAAATTTAGCTCTATTCCTAAGCATATTTTTCATACACTGCTATTGTGAAGGCAGCACAGGGAACACAAGTCTGGATTTTCACATAATGCTAACCAGAGTTGTACGTGGTCTGATTTAACTATGGTAATTAAATGAAGCATTTGAATATAAACATTTGAAAATCAGTTATGATTTCTAAAATCCCATCACTGTCTTGATGAATATTTGAGGCCACAACCAAAGGATTGTGGGAAGTCAGTCACCCCCAGGAATAATCTTAAAAGAGGCAGAAAAGCATGCCCAATTTTCTTAATAGCCCCAAGGCTACCTCCTCCAAGCAGAAACCAGCTCTGTAGAAATGCAGATGTAAATAATCCAGGAAGGTTGGAGCCCCCCAGCTAAAAGTTTAGGAAGACAAAGACACCTAAAATCTACATACCCCACCCCCAACTCTAAGACAGGACATAATAGGATTAACCCACAGATGCCGAAGGGCACACTCAGACTCAAGTCAAAGTTCATGGCACAGGAACAACTCCAAACAAAAGGCTCCAGAAGATATAAAAACTCACTCCCCACATGTGCTCTCTCTCTTTTCTTCCAGACCATCTTTCTGTCTGGCTCTCCTCTTCAATAAACTACAACCTTCTTTCTAAAGCAGTCGCCATGTTGTTTATTCCTGGCTTGGACTGAACCATGATGAAGACCTTTCTTTCAACAGGATCATTATTAGATTTATTGTGATGTCTGAAATTTGCCACTTTTGGAAAATCAGAGGTCATTGGTAGATTCTTAAACATTTTTGGAAGCATTAGTCTAGTTATCAAGTATTCCGATGCAAATTAAAACTTAATGCTCTGCAGCACTTTTTTTCTCTTCATAGATCATTTGCCTGTATCCCTACGAATGAACATTAATAAGAAAATTTAGATAATGGAGATATGAGTAAATGAAGGGTTGTTGAAATATAAAAGCCTATGGAATACTTTGCCTTCAGAAGTTGTGGGTGCTCCATCAATGTTTCAAAAACAGACTGGACAATCATTTGTCTGAAATGGTATAGAGTCTCCTGCTTGAACAGGGGTTGGATTAGAAGACCTTCCAACTCTGTTATTCTATGTTCTATCTTTTAGATATTTCTTTCTATACGGGAGGTAATATATGTATATGCTAGGAACTCAAAATAACTTTCTGCAGTGAACGTCTGTTCCATATTCTCATTCTGTAAAAGGTGGACCTAAAGATCTCTACAGCTTTACCTTGACTTGTTCTTCCTTCATTACCTGCTTTGTCTCCTCCAAGTGCGTTTCACTCCATTTCTCTATCTGTTCATCAAGACAGTGTTTCGAAGAACCATAGAAAGTACTGCATTGTACTGTATGTTGGGCAAAGGTGGTAGACTTCTTGAAAAATATTTTCCTTAACACTTGAAGAAAGTGCAACAGTTTGCATCATATAAACTTTATTTACTTTTTTCTCTATAAAAACTTGGTCGTTAAGGATACTTGTCTTTAATTTCCCATGAGTATCCAGGCATTGTACCAAGCATATACTCAAGGCTGACATCCTTTGGATCAAACCTCTAGTGCCATCCCAAGACAGCAGGTCTTTTGGAGGTCCCTTGGAAGCAACCTAATAAAGGCAAACTATGTAACTCTTTCATAGTTCATCTAATTCCCATTCCACTTCAACAGTCAAAAGGGAGTGCTTAAAACTTTAACAGTTGCAGCACTTAATTTTCTACAGAAGTTTGAGATATCATCTCTGGAGATATTTCTCAGTTCCCAAGAGTATTCATAGACTCTGCTCAGAAGAGTTGATTTTGAATCAGCACGAATGATGCCTGCTTTTATTTGGACCAAATTTCAAGATTCCCAGAAATTGAGACATCTCTATATTACTAAGTCTTCAAATAATCTTTGAATGCTCAATAAAATAAGGGGAAGAGATGATGTCTAAACATGTTTTTCTTCCCATGCTCCCATCCCCCTTTCAGTTTTCCATGGAATTAGGCTGAAGTCATACTATCCCCGGGATTCACAGATTTGACATCTCCTTCAGATTGGGTGGGGTGTGGGGATAATTTAGGGATCCAGAACTTTTTATACTTAGTGAAGTGCTTTTCAAACTTGGCAATTTTAAGATGGGTGGGCTTCAACTCCCAGAATTCCGCATATCTGATCTTAATTATGGGGACATTGAGATGTTACCATCTAATGGCATCTAATACATAATTTTGTCATATGTTCTATGAGATCATGTTTCCTTCAGTGTTGTGTCCAGCCCCCGTCTCCATTTGATTCATCTTTATTGCAAATGGTGGTCTCCTCAAGACTGCTTGCATTTTGTGTGGAAACTAGAGAGTTTAAATATCTCTTTGCATTCTTGCACCAGAATGGAAGCAGGAGGTAGAATGTAGGGACTTAAATGTCCCCTTTCAACTTTGGTGTTTTATGATGACATAATTCTATATTATTAAAAAGTTTCATAAAAATTACAATATAACTCTCCCAAGCCCCCCCCTCCAACTTCCCAGAGCTGAGTACAGGGTTACAAATATGATAATCATAATCTAACTAATATTAACCAACTATATAAATAATCAAGTCCATAATGCACTTTAACTCCCCTTTAACATAAATATAAACAAATTGAAAATAAACATAATAATAAGGAAAACATAAACAAGTTAATATCCTAATTATTAAACAATACAATCCCCAAATTGTTAAACAATACTAATACTAAAAATAATAATAATATCATAATAATACTCTAAAATTCACTCATAAGCTAAATGAAACTTTTTAGTCCCATATTTATTCTGAATATAATTTATCCATCTTCTCTAAACCGAAGTGTATGTTTCTTGTGAATGATCCTTCAAGTAAGCAGAAATCTTAGCCATTTCTGCTAAGTTTGACACTTGAAGCATCGACATAATTCTATATTATATATTACTAAAGAGCAGAAGTCACAAAATGTGGGATCTAGAAAGGACACGGTAAATCACTTCATATGGTCAATAAAATGGTAAGATACGCCGACTTGAAAATGTTACTCCAAAGAAGGATCCTTTGTAGGAGTCAAAGTTCACATTTTGATTCTTGTCTATGACACTTTTTTTCTGTTCTCCATTCATTACATTTTCATGGTTCCATTTATTCTCCTCACAGAGAACAAAATCATGCATTTATGATATATGGAAAGCTCTGCAGATGTGCTGACCTATGTGTAAAGCAACAGAAGGGCAAGAATGTCAAAAGTGATTTTTCTTCTTGGGCCTCCAATATTTCCCCACATAGGACACACATATATATATATATATATATATATATATATATATATATATATATATATATATATATATATATATATATGTAGGTCTTTGGTTGTTCGGGTTTTCTCCCGCGTAAAATTGGAAGTGTCTTGGCGACGTTTCGACGAAGTCACATTCGTCATCTTCAGGCTGGTGTTTTCAGCTTCGTGCTTTGAGCATTGCTCAAAGCACGAAGCTGAAAACACCAGCCTGAAGATGACGAATGTGACTTCGTCGAAACGTTGCCAAGACACTTCCAATTTTACGCGGGAGAAAACCCGAACAACCAAAGACCTACATACAAATACCCGCGAAAACCTCAGAAAACATATATATATATATATATATATATATATATATATATATATATATCTCCAAATTTCTTTTTCTGACAAAGAATTAAAGAATTAAATTGGGAGACTAAGATGGCCATTTCGAGCTCATTCTGCTCTCTTCAGTTAGCCACACCCTAAGGTGTAATCAATTAGACATCTGTCTGAAAAACTTCCTAATTTTTTATTTTTCCAAACTCTCCCCCATACATATACCGTAATATTTATCAGATGTTAACATACATTCTTCTTACATTCATATATAAGATACTTTTAATAAAATGAAATAAATACATACACATGACTTTTGGTGTTGCTCGCCCATTTCCCCTTTCACCGTATCCACACTCCTTCTTCTCTACCTTCTTTCTCCCTCTCTTCTCTTCCCTACTTCCCTCTTCTTCCTCTTCTCTTTCCTTCACCACTCTCCTCCCCTTTCTCCCCACTTCTCCTCTTCTCTTCTCCTCTTCTCCTCCAACCTTCCTACTTCCTTCTCCCCTCCTTTACTCTTTTCTCTCTCCTCTCCTTTCTTCCCTCTCACCCCTCTTCAGATACAATTCAGGGGTAATGATAGGACACAGATATATATATATTTTTTTTTTATTGAAAGTTTTATAAATTTTACAAAAAAGGAAAAATAATACAAAACAAGAGGCAACATATACAGAAAAATAAAACTAAACAATACATATATTAAATAAAAAAAAAACCCCATCCCCCAGCCCTCCCAAAAAAAAAAACAAAAAAAAAAACAAAAACCCTCCCTTCCCCCCCCCCTGAGCTTCCCAGAGCAGAATATAGGCTTAAAAAATAAAAATAAAAATTAAATTAAAAACTTTATATTTATATATATAAAAAATTATCTATGATATATATGAAAATAAAACTTATGAAAAAACTATATAATATTTTTGTATACCCAATCTAAATTGTATAAATTTTATCCATTTATCCCAAACAGCAAAAAACTTCTCTTGCGTTTGTTGCTTTAAGAAAGCCGAAATCTTTGCCATTTCTGCCAGATAAGCTACTTTAAGAAACCATTCCTGCAATGTAGGCAAAGATTCCTTCTTCCAGTATTGTCCTACTAACAGCCTAGCGGCTGTGATCAAGTTTAACATCAATACAACCTCCTTTGTATCACAATCTGTAACAATACCTAACAAAAATAATTGCGGAGTAAATTTTACCCTCCTTCTAAAAATTCTCTGGATATTCCACCATATTTTAATCCAAAATGCTTTTATCTCTCTGCATGACCACCAAATATGATAATAGGAAGCCTCCTTATAACCACATCTCCAACATTTGGGTTGCACGTCAGGATACATATAAGACATTTTTTGTGGATCAAGGTGCCATCTATAAAACATTTTATAAAAATTCTCCCTTAAGTTCTGTGCTTGAGTAAATTTGACATTTCTCACCCAAATAGTTTCCCAGGTGTCCAATGAAACTGGCTCACCAAAATTCTGCGCCCATCTAATCATACAATCTTTAATTAGTTCCGTTTCTGAGTCCAATTCAACTAAAACCCCATAAATTCTCTTAATGTGGGTTTGTCTTTGATCCTTCAGTTGCTTAATAAGATTTTCATCTTCTCTAAGAAAACCCACCTTACAATCCATCTTCCATCTATCTAATAGTTGCCTATATTGGAACCAAGAATAAGTAAAATTTTCTTGTGCTAACTCTTCCCGTGATTTTAATTGCCAGTTTTGTCCATCCCATTTAAGTAACTGTCTATAAGACACCATATCCATTTTAACCCCTCTTTTTATTCCTTCTATCGCATGCCAAGGTATAGCCCATAATGGTACTTTAAAATCACTTTTATAATATTTTCTCCAAATCCTAAGTAAAGAAATTCTTAAAATATGAGATTTAAAAGCCCAATCTATTTTTTTATTAAATATTAAATAGGCATGCCACCCATAAAGTAAATCCCATCCCTCTAAGTAAAGTATCTCAGAATTTGTCAAATTTACCCAATCACTAATTAATGTTAAAACCACCGCATCATAATATAATTTCAAATTTGGTACCTTAAGTCCACCCCTCTCACGGAAGTCTTGCATAATTTTAAACTTAACCCTTGGTTTTTTCCCTGCCCAAATAAATTTGTTGAGACCCTTCTGCCACTCATTTAAATTAATCTCATTTTTCAAAATTGGTAACATTTGAAACAAAAAAAGAAACTTGGGTAGAATATTCATTTTTATCACTGCAATTCTTCCCATGAGGGATAATTGCAACTTTTCCCAATTCTTCAAGTCCTTCTGTACCCTGACCCACAACCTTTCATAATTATTTTTAAATAATTTTGCATTAGAAACAGACAGCATCACCCCCAAATATTTTACCTTATTAACAATCTCAAAACCCGTCAAGTTGACCAAAATCTGCTTCTCCTGACTCGACATATTTTTAGGTAAAATTTTAGTCTTATTTACGTTAATCTTAAAACCCGAGACCAAACCATAATGATGAATCAACTGTAATAAGTTTACTACAGAATAATCAGGTTGCGACAAAGTAACAACCAAGTCATCCGCAAAAGCTCTCAACTTATATTCTTTTTTATTAACATATATTCCTTTAATTTCCTGAGACTCTCGAATTTTGATCAATAATATTTCCAATGTTAAAACAAACAACAATGGCGATAAAGGACACCCCTGTCTAGTACCTTTCTCTATTGTAAAAACCTCCGACAAACCTCCATTAACAATAAGTTGTGCCGTTTGTTTTTGATATATTACCGTAAGGGCTTGTAATATCTTTTCACCAAAATTCATTTCTTCCATTACTCTTAACATAAAATGCCAATTCAATTGATCAAATGCTTTTTCAGCATCTAAAAATATGAGCCCTGCAGGAACTTGGTTGTTCTTGTCTAAATATTCTAGTAAATTAATAATTTGTCTG